ATTACCGTTTTCCCGGTTTCGACAGGGAATTATCTGGTGAATTGGCCTAAACCACTAGACTGGGGAACAATCGAGCTGATTCGAACTTACGTGTGTAAGTTGGGGACGGCGTCGTGCTTTGAGGAACTTCTATTAATCGGATTATGCGTACGTAGGCGAAGCCAGTACAGGATTAGGTATCGTTTGGTATGCAGAGACGAGATCGTAGGAAGGGTGTGAATATGGGATCTGGTTACTGGAGGAAGCCTCGAGGGGATGGAAACGCCACGGAGATATCGGAGCGTCTCCGAATTAAGAAGGATAAGAATAAATCGCCTCCTCGTCTCCGCCAATCAACGTCCCCGTCTTTCTCCTCCACCGGCCGTTTATCGCCGCTTGGATTCCCGTCACACACCCTTCTTCATAAATAAATGATGCGATCCAGCCGTAATAAAATAAATAATAAAAATCGAGGTCCTTTCAACCCGGTGCGAGCAATGAGCCGTCCGCGAATGAAGATCCTCCGTTGAAAAAAAAATAAAATAAAAAAATAATAAGTATTAAGAGAGGGCGTAGATTTTTATTTATGTACCTCGTACTTTAATCTCCCAGCGGATTTGGTTATCTGAGGTATTCCGAAGGGGTATTTATACGATGCGAGGAAGTGCTCCCTATTTTCATCTTGAATCTTTAAGAGGGAATTTTTAAGATGACGCGCTTTTCAGTTTGATCGATCGTCCTTCATTCACGGTCTTCCTTCCCATGCGAAATATAATACAGGGTTTGAATTCCGGCGATATGTTATTACCCTTTATTTTATTCCCGATTGTATGTAGCGATCGATCTCCACGTCTATCCTTGCTAGGCTTCCGTCCTCCCACGCGGAGCGTCCCTCGAGGCTCCATTTTCGACCCGACAGTCAAAGGGATAGGAAGGGTGACCCAAGTTGACCTAACCTAACCTCTCTGATATTCAAATTGTCCCAGCCACCAAAATTGCCAGGTTTTGCAGCATCGACTCACTTGGATCGCACCCTCGTTGCTTATTCGGGTCGTGTACTTTCACGCGGCCATTCCGCAGCGGAAATTTCGTGTACCTGTTATGTGGAGCATGTGCTCTCGAGAGCGACCACCTCGTTTCGGGTCTGTTGTTAATGTACCGTTCAATGCTGAATATACGGGCTTGGATCCATACATTTCTTTATTTTAAGTTCTGGAGAGCCTCTAGAAAAAATGTGACTTTTGGTTTTAGTCTAGGTTAAATAAAAAAATTTTTTTTGTGAAAAATGGAATCTCACGTGCGTCGCGATCTTCCTTAGGGCCTCTATAATCACGTGTTAAGGTTCGAATGATTGTGCACCCATGGGTTGTGTACATGATGAATGTATCCTGTTTGGAGAAAAGTTTTATTAATATTTTCATGTTTTATGTATATAAAATGACCTTTTCATATCGCCTTAAGGTGTTATGAAAGGGTCATTCTTAGTTCGCCCTTAGAGCCTCCACGTGTTAACGTGTTAATATTTCAAATAATTCGGTGCACCCAGTTTTGAGATAAGTTTTATCAATATTTTTGACGTTTCATGTATATAGAACACCTTTCATATCGCCTTAAGGTTAGGTCACCCTTCATAAAATTTAAATTGCCTCCACGTGATAACGTGTTAACGTTTCAAATGATTCGGTGCACCCAGTTTTGAGATAAGTTTTATCAATATTTTTGACGTTTCATGTATATAGAGTGACTCTTTCATACCGCCTTAAGGTGTTATGAAAGGGTCATTCTTAGCTCTCCCTTACAGCCTCCACGTGATAACGCGTTAACATTTCAAATGATTCGGTGCACCGAGTTTTGAGATAAGTTTTATTAATATTTTTGACGTTTCATGTATATAGAACACCTTTCATATCGCCTTAAGGTTAGGTCACCCCTCATAAAATTGAAATTGTCACCAGAGTCTGCGGTATCTCCTTCACCCTATTTAGAATCTGGAGCAGACCGCAACCTCGTTGCTTATTCGCTCCACCGATTTTCATGCGGGCATTCCGCGGCGGAAATTTCGTCTCCCTGTAACGTAGAGCAAGTGCTTTGGCGAGTACCTCATTTCGGTAAGCTCGCAATTAAGTTTGACTCTTTGCGCATTAGAAGTCCCTCGGGCATAAATTCCCCCTCATTCGGTATATCTACAATTTACTTAACAAAATAATGTTGATTTTTTTTTACACGAAGTCTCCGGCTGTCGGGGCGAATCCATCTCTCCTATCTCCAGCATCCCAAGGATGTGACTTTATTATTTATTCGCGGGCGGACGTTTCACTGGGGGGGAAAAATTCGCATTACGTCGTTGTGCAGTATGTCGTTTCATAAACTTGCACCCCGCCTTGGGATTTTTCACGCAATTTACCATACGCGAGATGTAGGCAAGAGTTAAACTTCATTATTCCGCGCTATAAAAGTAATCCACGCAGTTTACGACCACGTAGGGAAGTTATTCAATTTTTTCCAATTATTTCTGTCTCCGTTGTATGTATACGCGTACACTTTTCGGTACATGAATTGCACTACGGATAAATCAATTTAATCACGTCGACTATTTTTAGAAGGGCACGCTTCGAGATCCTGAACTATTATACATGATATTAAGGTGATATTAAAGAGTTAGCCTATATGTGCCCATAATTATGAAAGTGGTCTAAGTCAAAATTAAAAAAAAAAATGAGTTTATCAGTTATTTCACGTCATATTATTTCAAACGAAATTAATTCAATGTAATTTCGAAACAAAAAATATATGACTTAGACCACTTTCATAATTATGGGCACATATCTATCTGAGAGATGAAATGCAGCTAAACGCAACAGATGGCGACGTTGGTCCTAAACAGTCGATAGAACAATCACTTTTAGAATGAAAGGGAAGAATAAAATATTTTGACGTTTTATGTATATAGAATGACTCTTTCATATCACTTTAATAAACACGATACGACAAGTTGTTACGTTTATTTATCTCCTTCTGTCAATACAAGTACCGGGGTTACTTATTTAATTATTTATACGGTATTGATAGTTTAGGATGGCCCCTCGAAATCGTTAATATTCCCCCCGTACAACAAATAAAGCGTCAAATATTCGAGAAATGTTACGACCCAGTTCTTATGGAGGTTTTTTTTCCTTTCCTATAACGTTCCTCCCTTCGCCATCCAATTTAGTCGTAAATATCGCATAAAAGCGTTTGCGTAACACAGATAAAAAGCAATAGCAGGCCGAAGTACAGGTGCGATAATTTCGGAAAACGCAAAAGGGTGATTTATAATTAGGTACGGAATTAAAATCAATACTACATCATCAACTATTTTATTAAAATTCAGGGCAAGCCGTATCGAACATGGCGTCCATAATGCAATATGGCGAGATGCTCTGAAACGCGTCGCACAAAATTCGGCGAAATTTTAGACTTTAATTAAAACTTTTATCCGTATATAGGAATCGATGGGAAACGGATTTCGGAGACGGGAATTTCGAGGGAATATATTCCTTTTAACTCCAATGGGATTTCAGTCGCCAAATATAAAAGCATTTGCGTGTGAATTTTATTCCCGTGTAGGCGGGCGTTGATTTTCCAAAACCAGGTTTTCCGACTATTCCGAAATTGGGATGTTCAAACAATATGGAATTTCGCACTTCGGAGTAATATTCAATTTTTAGGCGCGAGCGATTTTCATTATTTGATCTTTGCGAGCGAACAGCGATTCGGTAGGAAAGCTCGGAATTAAAATCGACGTTCGATTATTTTCTTGTTACGGGGGAAGAATTTTTACCTGAGAATCTCTCGGATTAACAAGCATTAGTGCGAATTTACAGTCGCCATTTTGTGTCCAGGTTTCCGTCCCTGATTCCTTTACGAATTACGGGCGTTGATTTTTCAAATCCAGGTTTTTCGATAATTTTGAAATCGGGATGTTCAAACAATATGGAATTTCGCACTTCGGAGTAATATTCAATTTTTAGGAGCGAGCGATTTTCATTATTTGATCTTTGCGAGCGAACAGCGATTCGGTAGGAAAGCTAGGAATTAAAATCGACGTTTGATTATTTTCTTGTTACGGGGGAAGAATTTTCACCTGAGAAACTCTCGGATTAAGGAGCATTAGCGCGGATTTACAGTCGCCATTTTGTGTCGAGGTTTCCGTCCCTCATTCATTTACGAATCCGCCTTACTCATTAAAATCTCGACTCGGAGAATTATCTGAGATTCTGCGATGCTCTTTCGCGAGGTGGAAGGGCCATCCTTAAAGGGTTCTTCTAAAAGAAGCTCCTCGGTCTTTCAACCGGAAGTTCCGCTCCGTCGTTCGGCTCGTCGGGAATTCGACTTCGGAGTTTTAAATTAAATAGTAATTTGCATTTCCGTCGAGATATCCACGCTTAAGACCTTTCCGGAAGTAATCAACAAATGTTAAGGGGAAAATCGAGTAACTCGCCGAGGCCAGATTCCAAATGCTATTGATGTCGACTGATGGATAGAAATAATTGTTCGTTTCCTCGATCGTCCACCCTCTTCTCTCTGTATTCTGTAAATGTATCCACGGACAATTCCTAATTGAAGTTCAACTCCTAATTGAAATTCTTAAGTTCATTTTTACGACTACTGTATTCGGTACTGGTTGATTTGGGCATAGTTGTCTTTATTTCTGCTATTTCCATCTCACTTTAAATGTCAATATAGCTCGGCCACGGAGTGCTAATATTTTATATAAATACAATATTCATCCACCGCTTTGAATACATGGAAGTAGGCCACTATAATTGCGTCTCGTAGAATAACGTCCACCGGACGGAGTAAAAGAGGAAAATTTCTTCGTTTCATTTTTCTTTTACATTTTCTTCAACATCGCAATTTTGCTTTAGGATGGGAGAGGTTGGTTGAGTAATTTCTAGCTGTGTTACTCTTGGTTGGGGTGTAAAAAAAAAAAATGCAGATTTTCTCGACTTCGCGTTCACGTACGTTTTTCCTTTTTGAAGGTTCTTGGCAGCCAGACGGAGTACCACTTCGTGCACAGAGCTCTGCCGCATGCTAGAAGTAAAAGATCCGTGCCTCATATGCGGAGGTTAAAGGTGGATCCCCTGGTAAGTGTATAAAGGACGATATCGACCGTTGTACGTTTATTCGCCCACGTATTCCATCTTTTATTCTATTATTCTCCTCGCGACGTAATTTTCCATATTTCTGATCGTTCCTTTTTTTTATTAATTTTTCTCCTTTCATCCCATGCGTAACCGATTCCCAGGGATAATATGCTGCAATTCTGTAATTCCAAATTTTCAAAAGAAAGGCGTATAAAAGACGATATTGACTTTTGTTCGTTTATTTGCCCACGTAATTCATCTTTTATTCTATTATTTTCCTCGCTACGTAATTTTCCTTATTTTTGATCGTTTCTTTATTTATTAATTTTTCTCCTTTCATCCCACGCGTAACCAATTCCCAGGGATAATATTCTACGATTATGTAATTCCAAATTTTCAAAAAAGAGGTGTATAAAAGACGATATCGACCGTTGTTGGTTTATTCGCCCACGTATTCCACCTTTTATTCTATTATTTTCCTCGTTACGTAATTTTTATTATTTCTGATCGTTACTATTTTTAATAATTTTTCTCCTTTCATCCCACGCGTAACCAATTCCCAGGGATAATATTCTACGATTATGTAATTCCAAATTTTCAAAAGATAAAAGGTTAAAGATATGCGAGGATTAAAGGTGGATCCCCTGGTAAGTGTACAAAGGAGGATTCGACCATTGTTCGTTAATTCGCCCACGTATTCCATCTTTTATTCTATTATTCTCCTCGCGACGTAATTTTCCATATTTCTGATCGTTTCTTTTTTTATTAATTTTTCTCCCTTCATCCCACGCGCAACCGATTCCCAGGGATAATATCCTACGATTCTGTAATTCCAAATATTCAAAAGAAAGGCGTATAAAAGATAAAATCATTACCTGAAATCAATGTTGCTACGAGATATTTATTCACCAGGTTGGCAGATCAATTAAGACATCTGATTATCTCGGGAAATTAATAAACGAGGTATGACGTTTCTTTAGCATCGCAGCTGTTGTAGAAGGACTATGAATAAACAACATTTAATATTGGTCGGTCCTTTGAGTAACTAAAGATCCGTCACATTATCCGATTGTTCCCGACATTTTGGTTTTCTCTGAAAACCAGTAAACCTGAAACAGCATACCGCATCGATGTTTTTTTCCCCTCCACTTAGGGTGTCTACTCTTACCATTGTAATTAAATTTCCCTCGAGTGGTGGACTTTTCTCGGTTATTTTAATACAATATTATGCTAATGTCGGTACCGGTGACGTAAGGGCTCTATAAATGCTACCCTTCGATCGATCCTTCACGTCTGCATCCCCTTGCCGTAGGTACATACGGCGGTGCAACAACCGGGGTTCAAGAGGGTGAAACGCGGCTACAAACCTCTGAGCAATGATCGCCTGGTACCTCTGTACCAGATCAAAGACACATCCAATCCTGCAAGCAAAGATCCTACCGATCCGTACTTTCAGTACCAGTGGTACCTGAAAAACACCGGCCAGAATGGCGGCAAACCGAAGTTGGATTTGAACGTGGAGGGTGCCTGGGCACAAGGGGTTACGGGGAAGAACGTCACGACGGCCATCATGGACGACGGTGAGCCGATTTGAGAAAAATTCAAAAGTTAACTCTCCACCCCGAGGGAAGCATTTCATTTAACCGCTGAAATATTTCGTTAATTCGGAGAGTAATAATCTCTTATTAAGGTGATACGAAAGAGATGCATCGGAGAGGTGAAATCGTTGGGGGAAGTATTTTCCGAATTTGGTGTACCGATTCCTTTGAAACTTTTTTTTTTTACCAGAGGAATATTTACCAGACCAATAACTTAGAGTAGTAATTAACTAAGAGTCGTTAGAATAATGAATTCCCGGGATTTTGACAGTTTTACGTCAATCTCTTTATCATTATTTTACCGAAATGACATGTGGAACGCTTCATTGCGTATAATTCTAAACGTAGACTGCAAAAGACTTTAACATAAATATAAATGTCGATAGCGTGACGCGTCAGCTTATGTTACTATTTGAGTATTCAAAACGGCGTTCCCACTAGAAAGGGTATAGATGAAATTTAATTTTTCGACTTCGATTAAATTTCTCAGCGCCTTTCATATCATCTTAAGGTCTTCTATTGAGTTTGTGCGTAGCGAGCTTAATTTCCTCTTAAGCTTTACTCGGTCTACTTAGAAATTTAATGAAAAATTAATGCACCGCCGGCAAGACACGCGGTTTGATTAAACAGCTGTTATTATCGCCAGGAGGATGAGAAATTGATCAAGCCCGTCATTAGCGAAGTTAGTAATTAATTTTAAATTCCACTTATATAATTCATGAAACTACATATTTCCAGCGTAATAAAAAATATTGTGAGCTGGGCTACATATCACTTTATTTATCGTCATCAGATTCGGGAAATTACATTTTGATTAAGGAGGAATTCTCATCCATTAATATGTACACTTTGATACACTTTGAATTTAATATCGAGAATTATTGCGGGGAACGATGAAGATTTATTAGTTTTAGAGTTGCCGAAATTGAGTTAAAAGTTGTGACGATAGTGGCGGTGGCATAAAAAAAGCTTCTTACATTTCTTAGGTAAGAGGAATTAATTAATATGAGGAATTAATTCGATCCAGTCCTTGCGGGGAGAAGTTTTAATGAGAAAATAATTGCCGATCGATACATCCGGTCGGTGGATTTATCGATTAACAATTATTAAGCCGAGGCCTCTTCCTGGTCTGCAACAGCTGTAACAACCGCGTATGATCAAGCCAGGATTAAGGGTAACGTGATTGTGCAATGTTCACCGAGATGTTGCGTACAACACGCTTTAGCGACACGTTATGGCACCATAAACCTAATTTCCCTGGGATGGACATGCATTATGCATGGCTGCACAGTAATCCAAAATCTCGAAAATCTACTCTAAATCTCAAAGATGAAACTTCCCTTCGGGATTGTTTATCATTACGCCGAGGGAATAATTTACTTTATAGGCGGAACTGATTACTTGCGGCAATCTAAATGTCTCTTGCTAAAGAAATTTCTCGGCTCCAGCAAAATTCATTTTTTAAGAATTAATAATGTTGCAACTCGAACGATGGCAAGTTAATATCAAGTGGATGAGTCGACATTACTTTTGCCGTACTTTCATTTGATATTACTTTGTTGATAGTAGCTAGAAAAGATCTATTGAAATTTCGTCTTTTTTAAAAAGTGATTTTTTAGTTCAGGGTAAGTTGCATAGAGGAATAATGTTGATATTTACTGCCAAAAAGACGAGGGCGGTGATCGCTGTACACGGTTTTGCATTTCGCTTTACAATCAACATTCTTGCAAATCAAAATCTCACCGAGCTGTACGTAAGGAAGAACTTTTGAGATTTTGATCGACTTTTTGGGATTTCGGACCACTGTGAGAAGTAATAAAATTACATTCCCGTTTTTACGCAATTATTTATAATCTCTCTTTCACCTTTCCAGGCGTCGACTACATGCATCCAGATTTGAAGTACAATTACGTAAGTAACACTTTCATGTATCACGTATCATCATTATTTCATGACTTATGAATAACAAATATACAATAAAAACATAGCTTTGTTGTATTTCATTTTTTGTTCCGTGTGTTTTATTTATCTTAAATTGAAATTATAAATTCATTGTATGTCTATTGTTTTGCAACTTCGTTGAAGGTACATTCGGGCATTGGTGGTGATGTAGAAATTTGAAACGGTGTCGTTAGAATGAAATTATTTTGCTAATGAACCAGATGAAGCGATTCATTGGTGTCGTTTTCTTTCCGAGGTAATCTTTTTCTTTGCCGAGTACACGTAAAAGCCATTGCTTTTACGAGTTTTCCTTGGAGAGATGTTCAATGGAAAATTCCTGCCGCGGATCTGTTAAACTGTTCCTTCTCTTTTATCTCTCGTTCAACTTGCTTCTCTCCCTCGTTTTCCACTAAAGTCCCCATTCAGCTTGCGACCTCCTGCATCGTATGGTTCATTAGCATAATGCTCACCGAGAAATTCAAATTCTGAAGAACCAACTCCTTACCGAGCACAGATACACTGATACGCCGAGACGTGTTCGGTCAGATTTAGATTAATAATGATCTTCTTTGATAATTAATTTAATAATTCCACAGTGATTGGCAATTGCGGCCCTAAATGGCATTACTCGATCGACCAATTGCAACATCGCCCGCTCCTCGGCAGCTTTGTTGCACAAATTTAATTCACAACTTTTGTGCATTTTTACGTAATTAAAAAAATTATGACATTATCCATTACATCGGCATAGACGTATAATTTCAATGAATACTTTTCTTAATAAAAGTTCCATACATATAGGTACTCAGGACGAAAATTTCTTCCTTGTGGTCTTGTGCGATTTTCAATTCGTCAATTGGTTATTTTTGATTGACATACAATATTCTCCATTATATTGATATAGACGTATAATTTGAGTGAATATTTTTTATTAATCAGTTTCATACATATAAGTACTTAGGACGTGCGAATGTTAATTGCGGCATTCCAGCTGGGCTAATTGATTGTTAAAAAATTCGCGATGGGATTTCCTTGAGGGTTCCATCTGTTTTCCCCGTCGACCTCATAATTGCTCTTTCTCTTCAAGTCTCCCAACCAATTTGTCGAGGAGCGAGCACTCAACTCCTCAAGCTTGCATGAGGTGTCTAAAGTTCGAGTTTGTAGGTGACACGGGAAACGCCGTGCAAGGTTTTCATGTCGTTACCTTGCAGCACTTCGAGTAACGCAATTTCGTCGGAGCTTAAAAAAAAAAACTCTGTCGTCGGTAATTTCATAAATTTTCTCTCTGCTTTCAGAATGCTCGGGCGTCCTACGATTTCAGCAGCAACGATCCATATCCCTATCCAAGATATACAGACGATTGGTTTAATAGGTGAGTTTAGAATTCCCTGCCACTTCCTCCTGGATTAATTTTAATATTTCATAATGTTCATTGCGTTTAAATACGCCGGTTTAATTATTGCTCCCGATGTACAAAATGCAGGCCAGTATTAGTAGCTATGTGTCATGTTAGATAATCATCTCCAATGGTTTCCTGTGATATCATCACGTGGTTCGCTATCATTCATTACCCTCCCCCGTAATCAACGCATAATTAAGTCAGAGGTTATTATCGAGAGGAGATTGCGAGGCAAACGTCGTTCTGGAATTCTGCGCGGCTTGGAGGTAATCTCGGTATTGATTTTATAAAATGCCACGAAATGGCAATGGACTATCAGCTGATGGAAACGTACAACAGCGTGATGGACCACCTTGGAAAAAAATGGGGTTCCATAGCATATTTATATAACAAAGACATTACAATGACTTCCGTTTTGATATTACTCTGACATCTCAGTTTTACATATAAATGAGTAAATATTAAAAAATATTTTCTCATCGACTGAGAGTCTCGAAGCGTAATCTGAAAATCTGAGCGTCTCGCGTTATGGGGTGGCAAGGTAAGCAAAAGTTGTTTTCCCAAAGTTTAAAGGCTCATCGAGTGAAGAGAAAGGTGAAGGGAAATCCTTGAGGATAGCAGAGGGAAGAGAGGAGAAAATATTGAGGGTAAAAATCGTCTCTGGGAGGAGAACTTGTGACGTAAGCGGATGCCCTCCAGGGATTATGGAGTAACAAGCTGCGATGCGTTGAAAAATGTATCGTTATGGTTTCTATTGTTCGGGGGGATGTATTTTCCGGATATTACGGATCTTAAGTTTCGTCTTTAAGAATTCGTCTTTGCTGGAGATCCTGCGCAATGTTGCATGAGTGCACATTTCATGCAGACATAATCTTAGGAGCACTTCCGCGTCGAAGCTTTTCATAAGTTCCTTTATGACGAGGTGCACTGTCACATAGGCGGGAATGTCGTACGAATGGTCGATAAAAGCCCATTTTACGGAAACATGAAGTCTTAATGGCCTTTAATACAACTCTTGAGATGCATGGCACGTTCAGCCCTTTTTTTTTCGATTTCCAAGCTTTTATGCAAAGCGTGGAGTTGAAGGGCGCACGTAGGGAAATTTCAGGGACCGTCATGAAATCTCGACGACGACCATTCCTGAGGAGGGATTTCCCGTCTTCTGGGAGATATATTTACGGTTGTAAAGGTGAATCGATTTTAGGCTTTGATTTGTGGAAGACGATTTTGAGCGATGAATGTTGGGAATCCTAATCAGAGCTTATCATTAAAGGGAGTGAAGTACCGAGGGGATGTTCACTCGAGAAATTCCGGATTTTAAGGCTTGACATCCCGTGGAAATCAGCTGGAAATTGCAAAAAGAATTCACGGGAAGTTTTTTGGAAATCACCAAAACGTTGGGACAATTTTTTAAGACCGACTGACACTTGTTACCCAATCACATTGTTGCTTATCATATCAAATCAAAGGCAATCGGTTCACAAAGAAGGAAATCCTGTTCATTGATTTTCGAAAGAATAGCCTCGTGAAGTACAGTATGGAATATTTTTCGGGTCACCTTTCTCCTTGAATTATCGGAAGTGCATAATGGATTCTGGGAGCAGTTAAAATCACTGTCTCGTCCACTCTACCGAAAATGCCTTTTTTCAACGTCAGAGCATTTTTCTACGGGAAATTGGAGGATCTGATGGAACTCTTTAGACAGCGGGACAGATGCGTAATGAAATATGACTATTTTTCTAAACGTCCATGACCATCCTTTTCACATGAGGTGCTTTTTCAGCGGGAAAGCTCGAGTTACGAGTGCACGTAAATGTCGATGGCTACTCATCCAGGTTAAGCCGGCTTTCTTTTACTCTTTAAGGGGATGTGAAGTGGCACCTGAAGAGTCAATCCTTCATGAAACATTTCTTCGAACTGAAAATGGTGAATCGTTTCAAACTTTACCCCATGAATGTGGAGGCTATAAGAAAGGACTTGACCGCCATGAAATTTCATTTTTTCCGACAAATTAAAAAAATATTTACGAGCAAATAAAAGAAAGATTGAAGTTTCATGGGTTTCAGGACTTGCCTTACCCCATCCATATTTATATTGTGAAGTTTGAATAGATTCGTCACACCCTTTATGAAACATTTCTCCGAACTGAAAATGGTGAATCGTTTTAAACATTACCCCATGAATGTGGAGGCCATAAGGAAGGATTTGACCGCCATGAAATTTCATTTTTTTGTTAAATTAAAAAAAAAATATCTACGAGCAATTAAAAGAAAGATTGAAGTTTCATGGGTTTCAGGACTCTCCTTAGCCCATCTATATTTATATTGTGAAGTTTGAATAGAATCGTCACACCTAGTTTGGAGGACAGTTTCATGAACTAGAACTCTTTGACGCCACTTTTTACATCACCTGAACATCCGCACGAAGAAGTTGAAGTTCCTTTAAAGCGCGTCAAGTCGCAAAAGGCTTCTGTCGATGTCTTCGTCATTTTTCACGATCGATCGGCTCCTCTAATACGAATAGTCGAGATAGGTAACTCCTTCGTTTGATAAATGGACGAGCTTTGACACAGGGAAGGCACTTGCAGATGCCGATCGATTTTCGTGATTGTCCCCCTCTGGACGTCCCAATTCCCTTTTCTCACACCTTTTCCTTCTTTTCCTTCTTTTTTCGTCTTTTCCTCCCACCTTTTCTATCTTCCTCGAGAAATCTCGCGAAGCTGCAAACACGAAACGCGCGTTTTTCTCGTCTTGCCTCGACGTTAGCCTATTTTGTTATCGAAAACAATGTGTTATAAATACATACTATCTATCCAAAGCAATGTATTTATCGGGATGATAAACAGGTATAGGGAATCTCTGAATTGTCTTTTAATCATTTCTTTACTCGCGTAGGCAGAAATATCTCATATTCGAAAATCGAAATTGCTATCGAAGTATCGGAGTAAGATCATTTTTCCGCCATTTTCTTTTATTGGCCGCACATTGAAATTGGTAAAGAACTGCCTTTCAGGTTCTTCATGGAAACGGAATACCGGATGGACATGGACGATATGATACGTGAAACGCGATATGCATATTCGTATCGTTTTCCTTCCACGTGAATGCCGAGTATTTCTGTTTGACCTTACTCTCTCTCTCTCTCTCGTGGATTCGAATTCTTCCTTTTCTCTCTTTTCTCGAGATTCGTGATATATAAAAGCAAGTTGAATTCCGAAGGGGTAAATTTTAAATTTATTATTGTTTATCATTTACATGTACATTTGTGGAACTGGATGCCTGGCACGTCGGTATGGCTATAAACAAATTATAATTAATTCGTGGTATTAAAAGGAGCTACAGTCTACGTTGATAATTAGATAATTATACGAACTGAAGCACTCCATATCTCATTTCGGTAAAGTAATGATAAAGAGATCGACGTAAAACTGTCGAAGTCCGGTGAATTCATTATTCTAACGACTGTTTAGGACCAACGTCGCCATCTGTGACGTTTAGCTGGAACTAAATTTTTTCCTCTAAAAACACGTGTAAGCCCCGTGACAAGCCAGCGTTCTCTTGCAATCGTTGGCGAAAGCATCCATGATAAGTAAATAAATGTTTGATGAAAAATGAAATTTCACGACTTTCAAGACCTACTTTAGAGCCTCCATAATCACGTGGGAAGATTTGTAACGAGTCGGTACACCCAATTCGGGGAGTACTTTCCCCAACGATTTGACCTCTCAGATATACATACTTTATCTTATCATCTTAATTTATTAAAATGATTAATATTTTCAGCCATGGGACCAGATGTGCCGGGGAAGTGGCGGCGGCACGTGATAATGGCGTTTGCGGAGTCGGAGTGGCCTACGACTCCCAAATCGCTGGTATCAGGATGCTGGACCAGCCTTACATGACGGATCTGATCGAAGCCAATAGCATGGGTCACGAGCCAAATCTCATTGACATTTACAGCGCGTCCTGGGGACCAACGGACGACGGGAAGACCGTCGACGGTCCGAGAAACGCCACCATGAGAGCAATCGTCCGAGGCGTTAACGAGGCAAGCCTTCTGACATTTCGTTATCTCACCTCCTTTTGATTTCTATCTCTAATGCGACTTATTGATCGCCCTCGAGCCTCATTTACCCTTATCCGAAGTATCCCGAAGGGCCAAGGGGGAAGACGGAAAGAGATTTAAAGCTCCGCACGGGAATTTGCGACTCTTATTGCATCTTAAATCGCGATCTTGGAGAGAAGCTCCCTTCTATCGAAAGGGACACTAACAAGGTACTGAAATTAGATGCCATTTAATTCGCCGACTTCATTGCGAGCTTCCTTCTTTCAAATAGACTGTCTTCGTAGCAGTTTTAATGCGTCCTTTTATGTCGGTACTTATGCCAGAAATAGAGGCCATCAATGGGCAGAACTCTAATTGGGAAGTAAATCTGGATATAATTCAATTCTCTGGTTCCCTCGCAAATGGTTCTTCGAAATAAACTGAGCATCTTGAGATGTTTACAGCAGGTCATTATTCCAGCAACAAAGCCCGTCAATTTCCGAGGGTTTTAATTCCATGGGTAGGTGAACTCTAATTAGGGGCAATAATTAGATAGAATTTTCCGGTTTCATCGCGGGCGATTTTTGGATATACGCCGCGTATTTCGCGATGTCGTTATTTGTATGTAATTAGCCCAGCAATTAGACAGGCTCTCGATTTTATCAGGCATTACGTCAATTAAACTCCAATATTAGAGCAAATGTATTTTTTATGTATCATCGCGAACTACTCTCTGCAATGTACCATCTTGCAATGCTGTTTCCGACAAGTAATTGTTTCAGGAACAAAGGACGTTAAATCGCGAGGCTCCTAATTACTTGAACAGATGAACTCCAATTAGGAGCTAACATTAGATATAATATAATTTTCCCCTTGCAATATACTGCGCATTTCTTGTTATTGTTTCCCATAACAAAGGACATCAATTGTCGAAAGGGTCTCAATTACATGGGTAGATAAACTCTAATTAGGAGCTAAAATGAGGTATAAAATCTTTCTTCGATATCACTGGGAGTTCTTTTTAATTAACCACACATGCCGTATTTCATATACAATTATTCCAACCGCAAAATAATATTTCGTTGAGCCAACACAATTTTTCTTCGAGGATACAATCCAACAAAGCTGCGGATATAAATTCCAACGTCAACAACCTAGGTATTTAGAATTTCTTTAACCGAGGTCGATGAAATTTCTGGACTTCACCTCAATTGTCTAGGTAAATGAGTTCTAATTAGAGGTAAAATCCGACATAAAATAAGTTTTTCGGTCCCAGGGTACGACATATTGTCCAACTCGGGGCGCGATTTTCCGCGAGCAATTATCCCGATTGTAAGGGACGATTATTCGGCAGGGTCGGAATGGCCTGGGGAACATCTACGTATGGGCATCCGGAGACGGAGGCGAAGAGGACGACTGCAATTGCGACGGATATGCAGCGAGCATGTGGACCGTCAGCATTAACAGTGCCATTAACGACGGCCAAAACGCCCACTACGACGAGAGCTGTTCCAGCACCCTGGCCTCGACCTTCAGCAACGGAGCCAAGGATCCCAACACGGGAGTGGTGAGTATGATAAGTGGCCACTCCGAGTATCCGTATCCAGCTTCTTCGGCTCCGGAGACTAGGGTAGACCTCGACCTGCTCGAAAATCGATAAACCGGAAGCGTCCATCTCGAGTACGTGTCGCGAAAGAGGGTGCACCGTGTCCGCTCCACGTACGTATGTGCGTCGGTACGTGTATGTGCGGCACTGTGTGTATGTGCGAGGTACGTGTATGTGCGGCACTGTGTGTATGTGCGAGGTACGTGTATGTGCGGCACTGTGTGGATGTGCGAGGTACGTGCGCGCCCTGTATCCACCGAAGAAACTGAATTAAGAGACCCCGACGTATCCGGGTCTCCGTTGGTGTCAACCCTCCCTCTGGCACGCTTAGACTGCTAAATTGATGGAGAAAGCCTTTCCCTGTGATAGTCCTGCTGGGCGCATTTAGCTTGATCTTCCAGGCACTGGAATACAGATGAAACGGTGCAATTTCCATCCTGAATTTCTCTTTTGGCGTGGAATTTCAAGAGAATCGAAATTAATTGTTTCATTCATCTGTTAGGACGGATTAATTTTTTTCCTTCAACGCGCTTAAATTATTAATTTGATAAACTCCTTCTTTGCGATAGTCCTGCTGGGCGCATTTAGCTTGATCTTCGAGGCACTAGAATACAGATGAAACGGTGCAATGTCCACCCTGATTTTCTCTTTTGGCGTGGAATTTCAAGAGAATCGAAATTAATCGTTTGATGCATTTATTAGGGTGGATTTATTTTCTTCTTTTAACGCGCTTAAATTATTAATTTGATAAACGCCTTCTTTGCGATGGGTGCATTTAGCTTGATTTTTGAGGCACTAGAATACAGATGAAACGGTGCAATTTCCACCCTGAATTTCTCCTTTCGCGTGGAATTTCAAGAGAATCGAAATTTTTCATTTGATGCGTCTATTAGGACGGATTAATTTTTTTCCTTCAACGCGCTTAAATTATTAATTTGATAAACTCCTTCCCTGCGATCATCCTACTGGGCACATTTAGCTTGGTTTCCGAGACTCCAGTATTCCAGTAAGACGGGAAAACTCCCTCGAATTTCTGCCTTCCTTCCGTGGAGCTTCCAGGAGCTGAGCAAATGGCGAAATACATATTTCCGTGCATATGACTGTATACATGTACTTTACGTGTACAGGTATACATATATCGGTACCATTTGCAGATTAACAACTGCCGTGACCTCCCTCGCGAAGAGGCAGTTCCTAGCCTAGTAAAATCCGAGACCTTCCAGATGGCTTCCTCGAGAACACGGCAGTTTCAGCGTTCATTTCTGAGCGGATTCGTTTACAACCATTCGGTGCCGTTTCAAGTGCCATTCCCGGGTCGACGAGCGCCTACGACTTCCTTCGGGACCTTCGGGCTCGCATCCTGATATAAGAATCAACTTCCGGTAGTGTCCCTCGGAGGGAGGCAACGCGTCCTTCGGGCTCGCCCTTCGAAGTGGCCACTCGATATATCGACTGCACGCAGCAATTCCGTTAAACTCGACCCGTAAAGTTTACGAACGCGCCCTAATCCTGTATTAAGGACCCTACCCAAGGCGGCGATGAAAGTCCTCGCCGCGGAGACGGGGAGTCTTCCGGTCCTTAATATCCTCCCCGATGCGCGGCACGGCCCCATTTCCGAGGCGAGGTAATAAAAACCGCCACAGGGTGGATTTCGTTTTATCCCTCCACTAGTTCTCCTCTCTGTCTGCCTCCGTAGTCCATGGTCTAGTCGTCTCTTTCAAGCGGTGCCGCGTAGGTTCCGTTCACCCCCTTTCGCTAATTAATTTGGCAGCCGCCATTTTGTTTCCATTCCACTTAAACCCTCAGACCTCTCACAGAGGCATTTCAATCGAATTATGGGGAACTTATGAAAAATGGTCTTAAAGTAAAGGACTTGTTCTTTTTTATGTAAAACGTAGGATTTTTGAAAAATGGTCTTAAAGTAAAGAATTTGTTCCTTTTTATGTAAAACGTAGGATTTTTGTCCTTACTCTGTTTTTTTAAGCGGTGCCGCGTAGTAGCTTTCGACGTTCCGTTCAGCCCCTTTGGTGAATTAATTTGACGGCCGCCATTTTGTTTCCATTCCACTTAAACCCTCAGGCCTCTCACAGAGGCATTTGAATCGAATTATGGGGCACTTTTGAGAAATGTTCTTAAAAGTTAAGGATTCATTCTTTTGTAGGTAAAACTTAGGATATTGGTTCTTATTCGTGTCTCTATTTTCAGAGTTAAAGGCCACTTTTATCGATTGTCTTTAAGCGTCTAAAGGACTTCTCTTAACGCTGTAAAGAGAAGTTCCTAATATTGTTGGAAATGTTATTGATCACTGTTAACACGCCTACAGGATTTCCTTCTATCCCTCGAGTAGTTTCCTCTCTGTCCGATACCTTGAACCCAGATATAGCCGTCTCTTTCTCTTGGCTCCGTGACGCAGCTTTGGACGTTTCGTTCGCCCCCTTTGACCAATCAACATGGGATCGGTCTCGCCCCCGCCTCCGCCATATTGTTTTCTTTCCCGCAACTTGGACTCTCGACCTTTGCTCCCAGATTATCCCGGAATTCCTTAAGGGGATGTGAAAGTGGCATCCGAAGGATCAATAGTTCATGAAACTTATCTCCGAACTGGGTGTACCGCTTTGATTGTTTCAAACATTACAGCGTAAAATGTTATGGAGGCCATAAGGGAAGGTCTTGACCCTCATGAGATTTCATTCTTTCTTCAACATTTTTAAAACATGCAAAATAAAATCACGAAATGTTTTTGCGGCTACTAGATGAAAAAGTGGCGTTCATAGATATCACGTTTTTATGATTAATATCTATGGCCAAAGAATTATATAGAATTTAAAAACGTAGTAAAATGTAAAGGACATAATCCTCTTTGAAATCTGAAATTTCCAATGACGGAAATCGGAGGTTCACTTTTCGGATGGTGAATGAGAAATTCGGGTATTTAATTTGACGGAATTATAGGGCCCCGTAAATCCTCTTCAATAGGGTGTTTTATGGCTTATGGGCTTTCTTCCACCCTTTTATTCTTCTCTGCATTCCCTGGTGTATCCATCGCCCTCGCCAGCTACTTTTGCTTCGCCCTCTTCGAGCAATTAATAGGGACTCGCCCCGCCATCTTGTTTTCCCCTCTACATAGATTCTGTGACCTTCGCCCTTATCTTTCACCCTCCATGTCGAACATCACGCGATACCCTTAAGGATAACCACGTGCTTCCTAGATTGGCCTCACCTGTAAACATTTCCACCCTCAGGGGCAATATCACAATTTCATGAATGAAATTATCCCACGATATTGTTATCAACATATTCACGAATCCGTGCAATTTTCTTTCACTTTTCGTTTGAAACATGTCAGACCAACGGGATAAAGGTTACCTTGTAAATTTACATACTATTTAGTTAATTCGATGCCACGATAAATTGCAGTAAGATCACATTGTCCCTGTAACGTCACATTCAGCATCTGAGTTAACATATAGAAAATTATAATGCAATGTTACATTACATTCAAGTGAAAATCCACCAATACGGTGAATATACAATGTTAAGTGTTTTTTTACATGTTTTAGTTTGTAATTCTTCCATTGTACGTATTTCCATGTGAAACTTAAGTTATGAAGTGTGGTAAAATCCACTGAATCCAATCAAACTTTACAATATAAATATGGAGGGTATAAGGAACGTCCTGAAACCCATGCAATTTTAATGTTTAAAAATTTGTTCATAGATATTTATAAAATTTGTTATAAAAAATGAAATTTCACGAGGGTCGGGATCTCCCTTATAGCCTCCACATTTATGGGGTAAAGTTTGAAACGATTCAGCACTACCAGATCGGAAAAAAGTTTCATGAACGATTGACTCTTCGGATGCCATTTTTACACCCCCTTAAGGTGCCTTCGGTTTCTCAAAGGGACGTTATTTCATTTGCATTATTTCTAGAGGATTCAAGAATTCCATAACTCGTAAATGAAGTCCCTCTTTTGAATTTACAGCCTTATGAGATTTCAGCCTGATAGGGAAATGGCCAAGATGTTAAAGTATTTTCTTAAACAGCTCGTTGATGGTGCACTTGTGGAGTCGTCTTGCAAAGTGACATTGTGCCCCTTTTTCCCCTCATTCCTCTCTTTCTTCCTCGCCATTCTGATTTTATGAGCCGTTTCACAAGGTGCAGGCTTTCTATTAGCTCTTTGTTGCCCCATAAAATTTCCCATTCTCGGTTTTCGCGCCATTAACGGCGAGCTTGCAGTATGACGGATCTAGATTGGTAATTAGGTTATCTCGGCTACTCGTGGTGTCTTTGAAAAATCATTTTCCAGGGCCTCGTCACTTTTAAACGGTAATTTCGATGTCACTCAATCGCTATAAGTAGACGAGGACATTCTGAACAGGTTTCATTCAACTTCAGATAATAATGACTGGGTAATTGTTGTAATTTTACATTTACATCGACTTTCCAATGGAGAGGCTTTCCCTGGCGTTTTCGAATGACGAGTTAATTAGGGGGTAACGTAGCGGTGGCCCGGTGTTTTATTAATTTTTAAATGGTCTTATCATTGAAGCGTGTAATTTTTCTTTCAGGCCACCACTGATCTTTATGGAAAATGTACGACTACGCACAGTGGAACTTCTGCGGCGGCTCCGGAGGCTGCTGGTGTTTTTGCACTTGCTTTGGAAGCCAAGTAAGTCTCTTGCCTTTTCCTTTTTCTTTTTTTTCCAAAATGCGAAGTGACCCTGGAAAGTTGCGGCCGCGGTTCTTTCATTATTCAACGGGATGGTTTCTCGCATAAATTTATTTTAAAAGACCCCGACACGTGGCCATCGCCTATTGTTTGGATGGTATCGCTGCGGATGTCACCGAAAGCGATCGACAGAAAAATGTTAAACAACCCAAGCGAAGTTAGATATTAAAAATTGTTTATCTCCGGATTAAATGTATCAATCAATTCCGTTTATATCTCAAAAAACGCGGAAAAATAGTCCAATCTTGATGACCTGATTGAAGTTGACATTATTCATTCAAGAGGTACATAAAACAATATTCTTTGTCTAGTTCGACGCGCCAGGCTAAACATCCCAGATATTGACTAGGTCAGTGTTTCACGCCTACAAGCGAAGTTAGATATTAAAAATTGTTTATCTCCGGATTAAATGTATCAATCAATTCCGTTTATATCTCAAAAAACGCGGAAAAATAGTCCAATCTTGACGACCTGATTGAAGTTGACATTATTCATTCAAGAGGTTCAGAAAACAATATTCTTTATCTAGTTCGACGCGCCAGGCTAAACATCGCAGATATTAACTAGGTCAGTGTTTCACGCCTACAAGCGAAGTTAAATATTTAAAATTGCATATCTCCGCATTAAATGTACCAATCAGTTCCGTTCATATCTCAAAAAACGCGGAAAAATTGTCCAATCCTGACGATCTGATGAAAGTTGACATTATTCATTCAAGAGGTTCAGAAAACAATATTCTTTGTCTAGTTCGACGCGCCAGGCTAAACATCGTAGATATTGACTAGGTCAGTGTGTCGCACCTATATGCATACATACTTGGCGCGAAACTCTACCAAGTTTCCTAATTTCACTCGAAACTGTACCGAGTTTCTCGATACGGTAACCGAAACAGCAAGTCGATGTTGCATTCCGAGGAAACGTATCTTTTTTACTTCTGTAAAGCGAATAGAGTCCTCGTGAAAGTGATCGCTTGGGAAGTTACATTTCATAACAGGTCTTTTTATAGTGTTGTACATTCTATCGGATGTACCTGTCTCGTGACTTGTACATACGTAAGCTGGTGGTAGTTATTGTGCTCCGAAAGGCGAAACTTTTCTACCTAGTTGGGGAAACTTGTCAAACGAAATTCCCTCCGCAGTTTCACGACTAAGACTAAGACTTCTTCTATTGAAATGGGAATTACATCGCGGAGGATACTTTTATGTAGCGCTTTGCGGGTACTTCGGGTTCCAAACTGTTCCCCCTTCGGGAAAGTAATTACACCGTAATGCGCATCGCCGATGAGAAATTCCGCACAAAAGGGTCGTCACAAAACGTGCTCTCGTTGTTCATACCGCGTATAAGTTGCAAATAGCTGACATGCCGCGAGCATAAAACTTTTTATAGAGCCTCGTCGAGGAATTCAATGCAAGGTGTGCCATTAAATTCCGGTCCTCGGTGAAATTCCTTCGCTTCGTGCGAGGACATGAATGAAACAAAAGTGAAATAACCGGTGCGAAGGAATTTTCAACAATTTATTCAATAAGACGAATTAATGAGGAGTATAGAAAAAACATCACTTCGCGCCCTCCTCTTCCTTTCATATTAATTAATTCTTCCTTTTAATTCTCAAAATGGAATTGCATTATTGCGCTAAGTACTGCGGATTGCGTAACTGCTGCAAATGCATCTCGATAAACAATGGAGTTTCGTTCAGGGCAGGAACGGCTTCGCCATTTCTTATTGCTTATGTATTGCTACAAGATCTTCTGTAAAGCGAACGATCGAATGTCCTTTTATTACCCTCGGTGCTTCGAAGCCGGAAATTGTCCGTGTATTCCGAGGAATGAAAGACTTTCATACACAGGCACTGCAATTGAGGATCGGAAAAGTAAGTTCTCTCATTGTCGACGAGGTTCTTTCGATCTGCAGAATTTTCCTGTCGTTGCAGTCCTTCCCCAATAAACCCGAAAGAGTGGAATTCACGTTTTATATACGCAAAACTAGTAGAAATGGTAGGTGTAAAAATTAAACATTTAACCATGTACGGTTTTATTTCTACGTTAAATATACATTCATAAGAAACGTTGATTTTATTGATTTTAAGCGTTGTTTTCGAAGGCAGAATTTTCCTGTCGTTGCAGTCCTTCCCCAATCAATTAAAAAAAGTGGTATTCACGTTTTATATACGCAAAACTAGTAGAAATGGTAGGTGTAAAAATTAAACATTTATCCATGTACGGTTTTATTTCTACGTTAAATATACATTCATAAGAAACGTTGATTTTATTGATTTTAAGCATTGTTTTCAATGCGTGTATTCCTAGTAAAGAAGAATGTTGTACTTCAACGAAATGTTTTAATGTTATTTGAACGTATAGCAAAGGATTATGAACGATTATTTTACGTACGGGCAATGTTTAAACGACGTTCATGTAACACGACTGAAACGATAGTTTAATAAACGTAGAATAGACGTCAACGTTGTACTCAACGTTGAAGGGCGGACATTAGAACGGATGAATCGCGTTTTTTTGCAAAATACTTTGTACGATTGCTGTGAACAGTTAATACAATTTCTCAACGTGTATTCCGCTACTTTGTGTTTTTTGTGTTTATCGATACCAATCTCCACGTTTATTCCAGTCATGGTTTAAACACTGCAAATCGTTGAAAGGCCCAAAGTATTTTTGCAGAAATTTTAATCCTGAACATTACTTATTACTGAATCATTTTCTTATTTGTCATATCCAGTCAATGGCGATCGATTCTTAGAGAAAAACGTCGCGTGAGGTAACAAATTCGAAGTTTTTCGCTTAGTTTACATGTAAATAGACCTTCTTATTGAGTCCAATCATTGCAGATTGCATAAATATCGGGAAATGGTTCCGCCATTCCGTACGTAATGCCACAAAGTCCTCCGGAAAGCTCACGATCGGATGTCCTTTTATTATGAGGAATGCGTCAGAGCCAGAAATTGTCGATATTCAAAGGAATGCGAAGCTTTCATATACAAGCACTGCACCAAGGATTTGAAAAATACGCCATTCCGTTATCGACAAAGCTCTTTCGATCGGGATAGTTCTGGCACGGTTTCCTCGCCGCTTATCAATGCGAGCTTCCACTTTGTGGCGCATTATCCACAGCTCATACTGGGACACGCCTTATCGAGTACACGTGTACAGGTACCTTGTGCACTTGGCACAAGTTAAGTTAAATCAGCTATTGAGTGCGATCATGCAGGGACGGCATCGCCCCCGCAAATCGTGGCTTTCTAGAGCGGCGTATCGGATTTCAAGAATGAGGCTTTCAAAGGGCTTTAGTACCAAATGCAATTCTACGCCTGAAAGCTCTCCAGCTCGCTCCGAAATTTCTCCGCAGTGCCGTTCCTTCGCAAGTGGCATCTGAAAAAGAGATCCTAATTCGAGATTGAAAAGGGAAAACGAGGTTACGATCCACCGGCTATGTCAGGTACCCTCTATAGCGCGCTTTTTGAGTCTTGGGAAAATTTCAAATTGAGTAATTCTGGGCGAGAGACGAGGCTGATAAGAATCTTACTTACGGTTCGATAAGAACATTGTTATTTTCGTAATCATTATTTAATTTTCCTGCGCGCTTTTTGAGTCTTGGGAAAATTTCAAATTGAGAAATTCTGGGCGAGAGACGAGGCTGATAAGAATCTTACTTACGGTTCGATAAGAACATTGTTATTTTCCTAATCATTATTTAATTTTCCTGCGCGCTTTTTGAGTCTTGGGAAAATTTCAAATTGACAAATTCTGGGCGAGATACGCGGTTGATAAGAATCTTACTTTCCGTTCGATAAGAACATTGTTATTTTCCTAATCATTATTTAATTTTCCAGCGCGCTTCTTGAGTCTTGGGAAAATTTCAAATTAAGAAATTCTGGGCGAGATACGCGACTGATAAGAATCTTACTTTCCGTTCGATAAGAACATTGTTATTTTCCTAATCATTATTTAATTTTCCTGCGCGCTTTTTGAGTCTTGGGAAAATTTCAAATTGAGAAATTCTGGGCGACGGACGCGGCTGATAAGAATATTACTTTCCGTTCGATAAGAACGTTGTTATTTTCCTAATCATTATTTAATTTTCCATCGCGCTTTTTGAGTCTTGGGGAAATTTCAAATTGAGAAATTCTGGGCGAGAGACACGGCTGATAAGAATCTTACTTTCCGTTCGATAAGAACATTGTTATTTTCCTAATCATTATTTAATTTTCCAGCGCGCTTTTTGAGTCTTGGGTTCACGTATAATTAAGTTTCGTGATGCCGCAAATTATACAGGAATTTTTTTGCCCATCCTATATAATGGCGGATGAAAGGATGCGTATATTTAGTTTCAGAGATTTTTTAATTTTTCCTCCCTTGTCAAGATACCGTCATCGTGCCGTACTTTCCAAAATGTCGAAATACCCGTGTGTACATATTACAATACATATGTACGTACACGTTGTCTTGAAAGGCTATCACTTTTTCCGGCTGAAAGGTGAACATGACACCGATGGTATCGCCTCCGTAAAACATAATTTTCTATTGTACCGTATCGGATTTCGAGAATGCGTCCTTCAAAGAGATTTAGTATCAAGTGCGTTGCCACGGCCGGAAGCTTCAATGATTTTTATCAGAAAAGTGGAAGGTCACGGAGACATTTACGAGTGACGTTCAGACTCCGTTTGGAGACACGTTGGGGTAGGTTATAGGGAAAAAAAAGAAGAAAGAAAAAAACTAGAAATTCATTTCCGGGTCGATTAAGCGAAAGCGATTGCGAGCTTCGCAAACGTTTTAATTGCCGTAGCTTAACGAGCGACCATTACCTGCGCAATATTCCGAGAACTTTTTCAACGAGGTGTAATGGCGATTTTCAAGTCGTATCGGAAGCGAGAAATTTCATGCCTCTGATTTTTCCCGACTAGAAATATTCCATTAAAGTTGTTATACTCCGCGTAAAATAATCTCGACGTGCTATTATCAATAAATCCAGGGAAGAAAAATTTTTCATGAAATCCCCCGGACGGAAAATATTTAAAAAATCAATCCGTTTTCTTAATAGAACCAAATGCAGCTTACCAATCGAGTAAACGAAAAATAATCATTCGCATATAATTTTGCGAATAATTTCGCAAACATTTTAATTGCCAGAGCTATATGGGCGACCATTACCTGCGCAATATTCCGAGAACTTTTCCAACGAGGTGTAATGGCGATTTTCAAGTTGTATCGAAAAAGAGAAATTTTATGCCTCTGATTTTTCCCGACTAGAAATATTCCATTAAAATTGTTATACTCCGCGTAAAATAATCTCGACGTGCTATTATCAATAAATCCAAGGAAGAAAAATTTTTCATGAAATCCCCCGGACAGAAAATAATTAAAAAATCAATCCGTTTTCTTAATAGAACCAAATGCAGCTTATCAATCGATTTTGTTCGATGGACCAGATTTCTTTTCCGTGTTACAATCTCTTCGACGCAGCACTTGGAGTAAAAGAAAAATAATTATTCTTCCTCCTCCGGAATATTTCCTCCTTCGTTACAACTGGATATTACCGCCGAGGCTTTCACTTCATTCTAATTTTGGCCCAGTTCGTACATATCTGGGGTCTAAAATGGGCCTTTGTAATGTACTTGACCCATTGCGTGTTAATCGAGCTCCAGCTATCGCGCTAATTCGAGGTTCGCATGGCACTAGAAAGGACAGGAGAAAAGTCGCCTACGTCATCAATTAGTCCTTCATTTTTTACCCTTCTCATATTTTACTTTTACAGCCCTCAGCTGTCCTGGAGGGACATACAACACTTGACCGTTCTGACGTCAAAGAGGAACTCATTGTTTGACGCAAAACGTCGCTTCCACTGGACAATGAATGGCGTAGGTCTCGAGTTTAATCATCTCTTTGGATATGGTGTCCTCGACGCTGGCGCTATGGTGGCCTTGGCTAAAAAATGGAAAACTGTCCCTCCGAGGTATCACTGCGAAGCTGGATCCTTCACCGAAATGCAGTAAGTTCTGATAAAAAAGCACATCCGCAGTATATATGATCCTTCCCCAAAATGCAGTCAATTCTGATAAAAAAGCATATCCGCGGTATATATGAAAGATAACACGGTTTAACAAAAGAATCGATAGCAAAGGATAATCCTCCAATACCGACTATTAAGTAGGATTAATACAATATTGATATGTGATATTATTATATGATACAATTATTGAAGGCTCTGATATGAGAAATAAAAGGGTCAGGACAATTGTACGAGAATTTAGAACACTCTAGTAATTGAGAACATCACATTTGAACGGGATAAATGTCAGATCGCGTTAAGGAATCGTTTAATAAGTGAACATCAATTTTTGCTCCTCAACAAAATAATTGTTTCTT